CAAGTACTTGTAGTAAAATTAAAGAAACAACATTCAAAATGTGTGTTTCAATTACCGTGCTAAGAAAATTTGAACAAATTAAAACACAATATTGATCTTGACTGTTCATTCTGTAATAGATTCACATAAATAATGCTGCATTTTTCCTGAAACTGTCTTATTGTGTCTTTAAAACAATTAAGGAAGACAATTTTACTCTACAACGTGGAATTATACTGTATAGTCTCAACACCCGTTGAAAGACTTGAAAATTTAATTAATCATTGCTATTTTAATAGCTACATTTCATATTTACAAATGTAAATTTATGCTTACCTTACTTATTTTATTTTTAACATACTGTAAATGGAGCAATACATATAATTGAAGCCTCTAATAAAAAAAAAACATTCACCTGTGCAGAACCTTTTGATATGTTTTTGCAGTTGACTATACACAATCCAATACAATTTTGCAATGTCTTTTCTATGTACGGTACGTATGTGTAATGTGCTCTTCTGAATGCCCTTATGCCTGTTCATCCAGCAGTAATAAAAAAGTTAGATGTTTCACAAGAAACCTTTCACATGCATGATGATATTCATTTCAAACATTTATAACGCAGGATTTGGGGTGAGACGTTAGTGTGGAGCTGCATACACTGTTGCCTCACAGAGTGAAAGGAATGTTTTTGAATGCTAAACACCCCTCAATTAATTTACATTGCTTGGATATATAATATCTAATCTTGTCTTTTTAGAAAGGTTATGCCCTTTTCTGTTTCTGCTTTACCATTAATGTGTTATACTCATCCAGGTCTACAACCTCTAATCCAATCCATTTCTGGATTTCCCTAAAGCCATCTCCTGAGATATTTAACTGTCAATCAGTAGAATCAATATAGCAGGGATCTGGCTGAATCATACCTGAATACCCAATTCTGACCCTGGAGGGCTTATGTACAGGTTTTTCAGGTCTTGTTAAAGTATCAAAACTTAAAGAGCTGGGAGGAGGTGGTAAATTGGTTCACTTAAGACAATTACGCACTTTAAGGGGTTTCTTGTATACAGATGTGCACTTTACACTCAATTGACCCCTTGTGTATACTGAAAAGGAAACTGAAAACCTAACCTGAAGTCTTACAGTAAATAACATCCACGTCACCTTCGTACAAATTAACCTGTCTCTATATAAAAAAATCAGACTAAACACAGTATGTTTTTTATCATTTATTTACTTGAAAAGTATAATTTATTGGATTATTTTTACTCAATTTGAAAAGACTGTAGGACAGCAAGGCATGTTTTTTTACTCTTGCTAGAAATAGAAATGGAGTTGTGATTTGTTTTCCCACATGTGGATTTTGGCAGAAAATAGATTAATCTGAATTGCAATGCACAGATGGAACACCACAACATAGAACAAAACTATTTTTATCAAAAGTTAATTATGTAATTTAAAAGGCTGTAATAAAACATTCTTTGACAGAACCCTGAGGCTACATGCATCTAAAGTACAGTTTACTAGCACTATATGAAACACTGCAAGCTGGTAGGTACTTGTGAAATTCTGTATTTGACAACACACAATACCTTACCCCAACAAAAGCAACCTGTATCTGCAGCTTCCTTCCAATTCGATGAACCTTTAACCTTGACTGCAGCACAAGTAGATAATAATATTCAGCTCTGGGGGATGATAACAATTACTCTAGCTCATTTTGAAATTCCCTTCTTGAACTGTTAATTCTGATTATGCATTCATTTTATAAATACTAGGTCCACACATTTTCATTGTGTGTCACATTGACATACTGTATCCTCCTATACCTACCTGAGTATATATTGACCACCAACATAGTGTATTTTTGTCTTATTCCGTGTCCTGTGCTTGTGTTAAGGGTAGTTTTAGTTGTGTTCTTGATGTAAGAAGCTGCTCTACAGCAGTTTTTCTTTGTGTTGTACGAGCTTCAATTAAAAAGAGCTAACCTGGCTTTTCCTTTTTTAGCGCACTTTTTCTTCTGTTTCTGTAAAGCTCTTATGGATCAAAGACCAGGACTCTGCCTAATTGTCCTGGAACAATAGGTGAACTAAATACAAGATCCAGCCATCTTGTTTACGTTTCTAAAAGTCAAGCAAGTATGTTGTTTGCAAGCCTTAAACAGCTTTAAAGTTTAAAACATTTTAAAGTGTCAGACTTTTTAACAGTTTAAAGCACAAGTTAATGCTTTTAATTGATGTCTTACTACTGTATATACTTTTTGGAACATTTAGCAAAGTACTTGGGCTTCTTAACATGGAAATAACCCACAGCAGGAACTACTGTAATGTGGCAGGATTAGCAACGTCTCTGGAGGACTACTGCTGTACACCCAAGTATTATCACGTAAGGAAAGTTAATCTCCAGTCAGACCAATCACAGTTTTTTTCTTTGCATGGTGATTATAGGGATAATCCTATTTCCATTGTATAACAATACAAGCAAAAGTGCCAATATATAAATAAAAGGTTCACTCATTAACTTTTCCTGACCTCCATTGTAAGCTGCTGTACATAGAGACCAATAGGTTACTATTTATCAATTTATATAGCAATAGTGTGCTTTTTCTAAGAACGAAGTTACAGTAAGGATTTGAAGCATACCATAAGTCCACTCACTCCATGTTCTAAGATTAAAACCTCTTTCATTAAATTGTTTTGCCAATGACAGCTTCCAAAAATGTCCTTCATAAATGGTCTCACATCCTATTTATAAACAGCCGCCTTTTCGACTTCAGGAACATACTGTAGCAACTTGTTGGATGACACCCGAGAGTGGATAAATGGCAAGAGTTTCATCTGTGTAATAATGTCAGTTGCTACCACTCAGATCATTGCAGTGGTGAAAACAAACAACAAATGGAAATACCTGCTGCGAATATGATCCTGCCCATGACGAAAACACCTCCTTGACAACTATAGGCGACATCTGAGGAGTCAAGAACCCAAGTCTATTATTATGTATTGAAGTGTTTTCTGAATAGTAACAGTTCGACAATCCAAAGGAAACTATGATAAGGGGTTCAGACACTATCATTATGATATTATTATTGTGTGGTTTTAAAATGATTCTAGGAACCTGGACTACATTTCCCAATATCATGGCTGTAAAATTAGACATTTATCAGACATAGTGATAAAAATCGAAAGACATAAAAATCCCCTGAGTAGAGGTTTCATGGTGCCACCATTTATTAGAGGTCTTTGGATTACAGTATAAAAGCACAAACTTAATTTGATTAAGACATATACATTTAATTTATATAAATTGCTCACTTACTCTCAGGAAAAAAAATAAAACAGTTCAATTCAAGCATTTGAAGTTCTTTTTTATGCCTTGTATTTTCGGATTTAATTTTGTTTCAAAAATAGCCTTGCTTCATAATTTCAATCAGTAATTCAGACCGTGAATCGATGCTGTGAAAGTATACAACATCTTGACGGTGAAGTTCCCCAAATTACCGCAGAACTTGGACTCCCTCCTTTCTTCTTCCTGTCCAAGTCATGGTTTATTCTCTATTCCATCACCTCTTTATAAACCAAGCTGTACAAAAGCTAAAAAAATATGTATTTTTAAATGAGACACATCATGCAATTCATAACCAGTTCTGCTATATGATGTGTATTGTTGTTATTGAGTTTGACATATGAGTAAATCTAAAGCGCACTGTGTGTACTGTATGGGTCTGTTGCGGTTCCGCGCGTGCTCGTGCCCTCCACCGCTCCAGCCCGCCCGTTTCGTCCCACAACACCTGGGGCGCTAGCCCGGGTCTCTGGCGTAACGCAACAGGGAACCAGCCGAGTGAGCTAAAGGAGACCTCCCCCAGCCCAGGCGGCTGAGGTCCCTGCTACGCAATGACGTCGCCGTGTCCGAACTAACTCCGCTACATATACATTAATGTATTGTAACGCTTACGGCCGACAAGCAGTGTGTGTAAGAGCCGGCGTACCAGAGCGGGTGACGTCACCGCCCTTCCCTGTGATAGCAGGACCACAGCTACTGGGCT